GTAAAAGTCCTTAATATTATTTACTGTCGTGTTCTCTCGATGTACGTGACTACGTTAAATAAATAAACATGTAATTCTTAATTAACCTATTTGTGGTTGCGTTACAAAATGCAACTAATGTGATATAAAGCTGTGAAGGTGACGGCAAACCCTGAAGAATTTTAACCGGTTAGAGGGCGCCACAAAGGAAAGACTCAAGCCAATCATATAGCCCGTCCATATTTTATGTATTGAAGTATACATTAATAAAAACTGATTTTTTATCCCTGCAGGCGATGCACGATCCACATTTTTTCCACCAGCGATAATGAAACGCATCACTTGTTAAAGTGGTAGTGGGAGGATTCTAGCTTGGGCACGATTCCGATTTCTGTGCCACCGAGATCTGAGTGTGGTTTTTTTAAATATGTTGGTGCCAGGAATACGGGAAAAATAATCAAAAAATTTCTACTTACCTACTTTTCGAGATATTGAATTTGAAAGTCGAAAAAATCGTATTGTCAAAATATAAATTTCAAATATATTTGGTTTCAATATAAAAACACTTGATAGAGTCACATTATTTATTGATTTAACAAAACAACCACGCCCAGTCACTTGCTACAACTTTCAGTGTCGTATTTCGTTAGATGCAGTCGTTATAAAAAAAATTTAAAATTTATGACTATTCACTTTTTGGTTAAGCGCGTAAACATTTCAAATATAAAAGCTCAGTGTTATCGATGAATCTTGTAGCTTTTACGTCTCCAAGTATTTACTGTTTATTGTTCTGTGAACCGTTCTGTGCGTGTAAACAATGTCAAAACATCCGCAGTTACATCCGAAGTTAGACAACTTTTCATTTTTCTGCTCCTTCAATGACTTGTTGGAGACAGATGTGAAATGTCTTACTTTTTTTAGAAGAAATTAGTCTTGTTCCCTCAAGATCCTCGATAACTCCATTGTGTTGTGGCTTGACAATGACGGTCGAGGAAATAATTATATGGCAAATGCCTGTGATAGCCTTGTAACAGGTGAGTATTGTAGTATTATAACATTATTGTTTTTTACTAGAAATATTCATGTATTGTAGTATACTGTTTTTCAAATACATAAACTTCGATAAGCATAAATTTTTTCATTTATTTCAGCATTTGTTGGCTCAGCGTCACTATAAAAACGAGCTCAAGCTTAGTATAGGCACGGTAATAGTAGATTACTACGGCTGGGTGAGATCGCTGAGGTGATAGCGTCTCATATCGACTATCAACTTGGCGGTGAGGGAAAAACCGTACAAGTCGATGAAACGTTCCTCACGAAGAGGAAGTATCATCGAGGATGCATCACGGAGCAGATGACTATCATTATCTTGGGACTTTATTGCAAGGGGGACAAGACAGAGCTCTTCTTCAGGGTCAACTCCAAGAGCAAGGAAGATATTTGGCCCTATATAAAAAAGTATGTCAAACCAACTACTTGTTTTATTTGCACAGACATCAAAATAGTACGTTGGTGTTGACAAAATTTTCGAGAGGACGCGACACACTAGACGACCAATAATAGTATTGGTGAATAAGTTGACAAGACAGACGCGATGAACACGATAAATGATTTGGAAAATCAAAAATCGTTTACCAAAAAATGAGATTGTGTTCCGGAAATTGCCAAAACTTCTCCATCAGTACGCATGGCACTTTTTTCATCGAAACTGCTTGGAGAGAATTCAAAAACGATTTGGGCACTCAAATCATGCAGTTCCTCGTTGATATTGAAAAAATGTATCCCAGCACTGTCGATAGTGAAGAACGTTTTGATTTAGAGTTACTAGCCATCAACTCTACCACCGTTAAAAGTGAGAATATCGAAGGCATTGTTGCTAAACGTGCACGTGTGTCCACCATCGACAAAGACATCGACGAGACAGAGGACAACATGGACGAGAACGAGGACAGCGACAGTGACAATGACGAATTTTTTTTAACCAACGATCAAGCTTACGCGCGCTATACATAGACATGAATGTATACTATGTGCATAAGCTCACACAAATAAACATGTACAAATAAACACATTGGAGTGCTCGTAGGTCTACCTCTTTGTGGTGCACTGTGGGTAACGCTAGAGATCAACATAATTTTTTCTGTAGGTAGAAATTTATTTTCTTTTTAATAGTTTTTATTATTTTTCCGCCCTCGGGTGGTTTTGGAAGGCCGGTACTTCCTCGGGCAAAAAATCAGTTTTCCGATACTCGTTCGAAAAGTCTCCTTTACGAACCTCGTTACGTCCCTCGCATTCGGCTCGGGCCGCAAACCTCTCGGTTCGCAAACAGAAACTTTTCAAACTCGTAGGAAAACTACTATTTTCGACTTTCAAGTTCGATATCTCGAAAAGTGAGGACGTAGGAATTTTTAAATTATATTTTCTGTAATTATGTAAAAATCATGCGTTAAATGCTCGTTGTTTAAATTCTGCATATTTATGTGTTGTTATGACCAATTAAAATTTCAATTTGTATTGACGCATCCAATTTGAGGAAATTGACCTCGTTTATACATCTGGTTCTCAGACTAGATTTTTTTTTTAGTACGTTCTCCGTTAAAAAGATCGTCCTCGAGTTCCTCTGCTTTGGTGCATTTCTTCTTAGCGCTATCATTTACTAATACGCTCTAGTAATTTTGTTCAAGCACTTGTGGCCGTACTTTGTGCTAACATTTTGGTCAAACTGATGCAGGTAGGCAACGTAAACGCAATATCCTGTATCCGTCTCCAAATGGTTGATCCTAAATTTGTTAGTATCAACCATTGAAATATCAGTTTCTTGTGCGGTTAGCTCGCCGTATGCGACAAGTCGTGTATATTTATCGACCACTTTGATTTTGAACTGTAACTATACGTAAAATCGATATAAGATGTAGTACACGATGACAACGCCACCGTGACGCAGAGGGAACACCTTGAGCATAAAGTACTGATCATGATCCTCTTCCAGAATGAATCTGCTGTCCATTATTTTTTGACCTTTGGTATCGTATTGAAAACAATGCACCCTAGTGTCATCGTACGAAGCGATGTTGCTGCAAAACGAAAAGTACCCGTGTTCGCTCGATTCCGCCATCGAGTGTCGCCTGTATATGTACTCGGTAAAGTGGTTTCTCAGCACCTTCATCTCAAGACCCTCGTGGCTCACGTAGCTGACATTCATCAGAATGCCTACTTTATTCCCTTCGCGAATAAGCTTAATGTTGATGAAAAATCCACCACTACTCGAATTGAATTTATCCACGACCATAGCTGCCTTGAAGTACTTTGAGGGAAAAGCGATGGGCTGGCTTATTTGCTTACCTATACATAGAAATTGTCAAAAACATCAGTGGAAAATGAGAATAATTTTGCCCATGATACTTCCAGAGACATTTATTTACCTTCATGGTTGTATCGGATGGTACACGGGTTGTGTTGCTCACCACATATTTTCTTGCTGTCAATCGAGACGTGATAGCTATCGTTGTACACGAGGACATTAAAGTTAGGGTTCCTTATTTGTCCCAGTTCATCGAGTGGCGAAACGTCCACAGGAAAATCTGAAGTGACGCTATCACATTTGTCCATATCGAGTATGCTGACCAACTTGTGCTGCTCCTTGCCCCTAAAGATCCAATGCAACACGAGTTTGTTTTCCATGAGCATGTTTGTGTATTTCAAAGAGAACCAGATAGGGTTCTCTCTGTTAGGTACTCCGATTTTTACGTCACAATGCTTTTTGTGGTCGTTCTCCATCATCAGCTCGATCCTGCAGCTCAATTCGTCCTGATCGTAGATCCTATAGCAGGTCTTACGCGTAATGCTTTGGTCAAAACGTTGGTTCTTCCAGGCAGATTTTATGTGTGAATTGCCATTATCATCAGCTTGTAGCTTGACCGTTTGAGCAGTAACGCTTAGCAGATGTACAGCTGCATAGACTATCGTGAAATACGGCATTTTTCCTTGAAATAAATTTTCTTTGATAATTTAATAATTTTTGTTTTCAGAAAAAATCCTGAATCAGTGTCAAAATTAGCAACTGATGTGGATATTAACTGGTTTTGAAAATATTATCTAGATAAGCTGTATTTTTTTCTGCTCAGTAGTAGATAAGTGTTACCAACATTAAAATACGCGAAAAGTGACTTAGCTGAGGGGAATACTTTCCATGCGTATAATGTAATGTGCTCTCAGAGAAAATAACTACAGTAACTTTTACCGTGAAATGACGGTTATTTTGGGACGTTGTGTGAATACAGGAATTTTAAATGAAAAATGACAGTAGAAACTGTAAGACTATCATATGTGACGTACCGTCCTAACTTGACCGTAAATTGTCGATAAAAATTACTGATTGTTTTTTTTCTTCATGTACAATTGAAATAAAAAATTTATTACGAAATAATTATTCGAAAGAATTTCTTACCTTACACCAATCACTTGATAGTTGTCAACTATTTTGAAAAATACTGAGCCGCTTTTGTATCATCTTCTGTATTATCATTCAAGGCAGATGTGAGAAGGTGTGGCGAGACCACGTGATCTGCATCCAGCAATTGTTGGAATATGATTGGCTCACAAAAATTCTCTCCACATGACCATTTCTCAGTCAGTCTATATGACAATCGTGTAGACGTTTAGCAGGTCAAAAACTTGTTTGGTTTTAAAAATACAATCATTAGCTTAACTATCAATGTGGTTGCTATTTTCAGGCGACGCTTCTAAGGTCAATAATTTATAAGTAGCTTATTCTCCTGAGATTGTATAAAAATAAATAATCTGCAAACTTCTAGTCCACGCTAATATTTTAAGTATTGTTTAAGAAATTTGTATAAGTTATATACAATTTTTATACAACTGGTGTGCAGTTGTAACGAATCATGTATAGCAACACAGCAAAGTAAATATGCGGGGGAGGGGGCTAGTGGTGGGAGGGGTGTTTAATTGAACGAAGTGACCACGCGCTGATCAAACCGACAATCTCTCGTTCGAGGTCGGCAAGTCAAGCCGCTCCCGAGAGCGCAAGAAGGTACAGGAGCCATTCGATTGAAGTAAGCGTGTTTTTATTTTTTTTTATTTTTAAATTTAATGAAAAGTAGGAGATAGATTCTGTATCTGATAGAAGTGTTATCAACATTAAAATACGCGAAAAGTGACTTAGCTGAGGGGAATACTTTCCATGTGTATAATGTAATGTGCTCTCAGAGAAAATAACTACAGTAACTTTTACCGTGAAATGACGGTTATTTTGGGACGTCGTGTATACACAGAAATTTTTATAGTAAAATGACCTTGAAAATTACAGTGAAAACTGTCGTGACAAAAAGGCAAAAATTATAGTTGATGAGTGTAAAAATTACACTACATGACGTGCCGTCAAAATTCCACTGTAGATTTATGGTTAAAATTACCTTTTTTACTTTATGTACAATTGGAAGGGAAAAATTTAGCACAAAGTTACAGTTTAAAAACATTTTCCGCCCTCAGGTGGTTTTGGGAGGCTGTTACTTCCTCGGGCGAAAAAGCAGTTTTCCGGAACTCGTTCGAAAAGTCTCCTTTACGAACCTCGTTACGTCCCTCGCATTCGGCTCGGGCCGCAAACCTCTCGGTTCGCAATCAGAGACTTTACAAACTCGTAGGAAAACTACCATTTCTACATTTTTTAGGCTTTGTGCGTAAAGTAAATTTTGTGAGAATAAGTTATTACCTTGCATCGACCACTTCATATAATTATTGACTACTTCGAATAATACTCGACCAGGTTTTATATCATTATTCAAGGCAGATGTGAGAAGGTGTGGTGAGACCACGTGACGTGCATCAAGCGATTTTCGGGGTATGATTGGCTCATAAAAAATTCTCCCACTAAACTATTTTTCAGTCGGTCTATGACAACTGTGTGGATTTTTAGCAGGCGAAGCCGTTTTTCTTTTAAAACTACGATTATTAGGTCGAATCATAGTTAAAAATAAGATGAATTTACTCACGTTTCAGTGCACATAATTGGAGTAATAATGCAGATAGAAAAATTGTTTTAATAAGAATAACCCACGAGGTCATGAACCCATAAATGAAATCTATCGTTGAAATATTCTCGTACCCTATTCTATCGACCTCGTCATCTGATAACATGCTAACTTATGTTTTTAAGTGATATGTATCTAATTTAAAAGACAATAATGCATTGGTGTTCCTAGATACTTATTTGAACCTTGTGTAGTATAGCTCCATTTATTACTACAGAACTATAAGATACTAATGGGTTTTGACTCACAGTAATACTTATGTTAAAAAAAGAGCTTAATGTCTTATCTGTAACTGCCACCAGATATTGAGTTTAAGGATATCATATACGCTTAATTATTAGCTTAACTATCAAAGTGGTTGCAGTTTTTAGGTGATGCTTTTAAAATCCATAATTTATAAACAGTGTATTTTCCTGAGATTGTAAAAAAATGAATTATCTATCAAATTTAAGTCCATCCTGAAATCGCTGAGAGCATTCTCTAAGGCTTTTAAAGAACTTGCAATATTTATTTTGAATTCTTCTTAAGGTGGTTCATGCCAAAATTAAGACCTGGGCTATCAAAGTAAAACTTGGAGAGGTTCGTTACGAACCTTTTATATACCTCTCTGCAAAATTTCAGATAGGCTTACAGAATAAAATCACGAGAACGAGACGTTTGAAAATCGTCAGGGCCAGGATGATCAAAAACTAGAGTAATAAACTAGAAGTCGTCCTCTTTGTAATGATAGGTCAAAAATTGTACCATAGGATAAAACTAAAAGATATCGATCGAAACGCAATCGAGCATTGCCATTTACTATGTTAGAAGCATAGGCGAGAACCGACCGTTAATTTTTTGAGGTTAATCGGAATTACATAAAATAGTTTTTAGAAACCTTAATATTGGATATTGTGATCTATAATGTGACATGGGTACTTCATTTCATTTAATGAAGAATATTTAATAACATATTTATGAATATTGACAGCTTCAATAGAAATTATCTTTTCAGTTGCACATTTGACTCGGAAGTCGTGCATGAACCACCTAAAAAGAATCAGCAACTATGTTGTGTATCTTGCGAGATTTCGGGTACAACCTGTACACTGTCATTTTCTTTTACTTGCAAATGTGTAAAATAACCAATGGTTTTGGCCCTCAGTACTAAACGAGCTTTTTGTAAGGAGCAAACCTTTGGTATCTAGCTGACTTTGTTTCGTGGACAACGAATGGTCTTCCCCTTCACTTTTTCTAGCATTTCAAATGCAATCACTTGGAGGAAGTTGAAAAAAAACCAAACAAAAAACGTGCTCAGGGATATTTATTCTGAACTCTAGAAAAAACAGCGAATGACTGTGACAATTGTTTGTCAAAACGGTAATAAAAATCTGTTAGTATACTGAGTTACATACAATTAATTGACTGACCAGATTCTAGTAGTATATAACTTGTTGTTACGTACGGTAGCATATATCTATGCGTTCGTGCGCTCCTCCTAGTTTGAGCCCTAAAGGATAGAAGAGCAGGGAAGATAAGGAGATAGGAGCTGAGAATTGGAGGCAGTCGGAGAATACCAAGCAAGAGAGTTGGTCGATAGTGAGGAGTAGGTCCTTGGCTTCGAACGATTAAGCTCAACGCGCCTCTTCTATCGTTTTTGATATTGATAAAGTATACTTGATCCTAACTCTTTGTATTAATTTTTATGAGCACCCTAAGGCCATAGAACCCCACGTAACATTATACAAGCGATTCCACATTTTGTTCTTAATTAGAATGCTCAATTGAAAAAAAAAAAAAAAATAAAAATTAGAAGCCACAAACTGAACACAACTCTTTTTTTTTCTACATACATCTAGAAATGTAAGAAAATTAGTGAACATGTAAAAAGTGGAGAGGAAAAAAAATGTACCCTTTGGCTTTTTTAAAAAAGTTAAGCGAAATTTAAAAATGACGAGATAAACAGAAACAGGTGCCATATTCTTTGGCTCATAGCTTCTTTCTCAATAATTTAAGGGGGTTAGAGCGGTACAATCAGCCTCAAAAGTTGATTTAAATTAAAAATGAGTGTTTTTTATTATTATTCTTGATAAATCATGCGAGTTATTCCATATCGTTCAGCAGAAGATTACTGATAGGCGATAAAACAAAAAATTAATACTTAAAAACTGGAGTTAAGTGCAATGCTTTATGTTTCGTGTGCTGTATATAGATTACCAATAGCATTTTGTTCAAACATTTAATTGAAGTATTTCTCAAACCGTGATGGCAAGCTTCCTCAAATTTCGATATGTTATTCGAATTTTTATTTACAATAATATACTAGTTTTTTGGAAGATTTGTAAAAATATTTTCCAAGTTATTGGGGAAAATATAAATTTCGTGACGACATTCTCATAAGAGCCTGTGTATAAGATCCTAACTTAGCTATTTTTTTTTTCTCAAAAACTGTGACGCTACGGTTTCTGAAATTTTAATATGTTGTTAACATAATAAAAACAAACACATTCTAAATTTTTAAAAAGTATCCTTAAAAATTATTGTAAAACTCAAGCTAATTTGAGTGTTGGAAATTCTTTCCTCAAAAAAAAGTGGGATCCATGATAATTACTAAGTGTAAATATTTATTATTATCATCATTATTTATATTACTGTAAGCCTCAATATGTACTGTTATTTTAGCTTGTAAAGAATATCACTTAGTAATAGCATGTAATTTTGCAACAATAATTTGATCATTTTCATTTTCAAGCTTGGCAAACTATGATTGTGGATTTCTCTCTGTTAAAAGATAATAGGTAAGAAAAAAAAATATCATTTTTAAGGCCATGGTTACATTGGACAGGAATAGCCTGCAGAGCGTCACTGGCTTAGGCCTGTACAGTAGGGCACGAATCATTTTTAACGAAAAGTAGTATTTTCGTAAAAACAGGTGCGAACTTTATTTATTTATTTACTTTTTTTTTTTTACTGAGAGCACAGTAATTGTCTATAAAAAAAGCCCGAAACAGATAAATCAAATTAGATCTACTGTTGTTGCCTCCTCAGCTTATTTTTCTGTCTAGAGTGACGACCGCTCTTTGGTTCACTGTGGGCAGCTGCAGGACTCGAAACGATGTCTTCGTCCTGGTGGCTTCGGCAGGAAGCCCTGCTCCTGCGCAGTTCAGATTGCGTCGACGAGTGGAGGGTGTCGAGAACACCAAGGACGAACTCGACGACCGGTCGGTTCCGTACGTGGTCGACCTGGCTGCTTCGGAAGATTCTGTGAGTGGGGAGCTCCATCGAGCTGGAATCGCTGGATATTGGTGACAGGTCCGACCTTCCGCTTATGTTGCTCGACGGTCGGGCTTGGTTGATCGGCAGTGACACGAGCAGAAGTGCAAGATATGCAAATATGATAAATGGCACTCTTGGCATTTTATTGTTTTTGTGTCGGACGTGGTTTACTGCAAAATAAATAATATCGTCCGTTTTCATTCGCAATGGTTGTGACAGATAGCATTTATTACTGGAGTCTTTGAATCAGCATAATGATGATATGTATCTGATAGAAGTGTTATCAACATTAAAATACGCNGAGGGACGTAACGAGGTTCGTAAAGGAGACTTTTCGAACGAGTATCGGAAAACTGATTTTTTGCCCGAGGAAGTACCGGCCTTCCAAAACCACCCGAGGGCGGAAAAATAATAAAAACTATTAAAAAGAAAATAAATTTCTACCTACAGAAAACACTAGCCCCCTCCCCCGCATATTTACTTTGCTGTGTTGCTATACATGATTCGTTACAACTGCACACCAGTTGTACAAAAATTGTATATAACTTATATAAATTTCTTAAACAATACTTAAAATATTAGCGTGGACTAGAAGTTTACAGATTATTTATTTTTATACAATCTCAGGAGAATAAGCTACTTATAAATTATTGACCTTAGAAGCGTCGCCTGAAAATAGCAACCACATTGATAGTTAAGCTAATGATTGTATTTTTAAAACCAAACAAGTTTTTGACCTGCTAAACGTCTACNAATAACAATAATAGTAA